ACCAATTCAGTGCCAGCAAACAGCTCCTCCTCCTGGTTCCCAAGGGTCGAATGCATTGACAGATGCTACTCCTTTACAGACTCTTGGATGCTTACCACTCGAATGTCCTTATGTAATTGAACACACGACCTTAACGAGAACACATCATCTCTGTGACTCCATTAGCATACTTTTTGGAGTCGCAGAGAATGATGAGGACCAATCAGAGTATGTGTAAGCCTATATAAATCTTATTTGGGCCCTTGTTCAGTGCCTTATTGTAATTTCTGCAATTAAACATGTTTAGTACTTATAGTTGAAATTCTGATATTAACCTTTGCTTGAATTTGAAACCTATTCTGATATTGAACTTGGCTTGTACTGGTGTATTTCTGGTATCCTGACCGGGCTTGTTATTTTCTTGTATCCATATTTTTCTATTATCCTTACCTTGGCTATTCTGACTTTTTCTCTATCTTTATTACGTTAAGTTAGACCACTCTAAGGCCCAGTAATACATTTATGTAGTACCTCTATTTGTGGGTTTCACCATTTCCTGTAAATTAGGGTAACAACCCTGTGACACCCCCATCATGGCATACCATTAGAAAAGTAGACAACCCAGGGTATTAATAATATTCAGTCTTTTTTAGTAGCCACTTAGTCACAAATCCTGGCCAAAGTCAGTGTTCAAATTAGATTTTTGCATTTTTCTAAATAGAATACTAACAGATGGTCACTGCCATAGAAAGATACCAATGTATAGGAATGTACAGTAAATGCCCTGTCTAAGATGAACAGAACTTAGCTTGTTAGTCTAGGGGCTTATTCACTAACATGTTGAAAATTAAGGAGCATAAAAATAATAATAATCCATCAATTCCCTCCTTTGTGAACAGAATAAGGACAGAAAAATACCTGTAATAATATATATTTTTTTTTTTCTTATTCAAATTTGGAAACCTGAGTGAGCAGTACACAAACACTTACATACAGACATAAAGACATACAGCACAAGCAAGCAAAACTACCTATATCCTCTTCCTTTCGAGGGAATCTAATCAGCCTCCCAAACCAAAAGTTCAATCAAACCCATGAAAGAACCTCTCGTCTTGTTTTATGTCTACCACCTTATGTCGCCTAGGTATTTATAATTGGGTTTTGAATAAACTGTATGAAATTAAAATGGCACATCCTCTCAAATTTTTCACATCCATTATTATTCATTTATTAGTCACCTATTCCCAAAATCCAATCAAATCCATCAAAAAGATGCAACCCAGTAGGAAGTGATCGAGGCTGCATATTTAATGTTTTCTTTCTACACTCAGCATACAACAATACACACATTCAACATCCATCCGTGGGTCCGCTAACACATCCTCTCTCTGGCTAACTCTACAGAAAAAAAAAAGCTATATAGTTCAGAAAAAGATATTTTCAGAAAAATATAAAAAATAAAATCAGTTTGTACATCATAGGTTGTTTTCGACATAATGGCTAATAGTAGGAAGTCGGGTTTCAAATAGTTATTAGTACGTCCATTTGTTGCTGGATTTTCACCACAATGCTCTTACACCACTCCACTTGTTGAGAGGGTTATTTCAAAAATTGCAGCATTAGACTGCACTTCACTTTCCAGGTACTTGTATACAAAGTTTATGTCCTCATAAGTAAACATCTCGGTTTCTTCGACCCACGGGTGTTTTGGTAGAACATATTTCATTCCAAATACTCAATTGAGGGTCAGCCAGAGAGAGGTTGGTAGGCAGGCATGACCCAATGATCAGGTAGCACAAACACTCCAAACGGGAACATAAGAACATAAAAACAGACTTTCTCTACACTATTAAACCATATGTGAATTCACTAAAAATTACCAGATCACTACTTAATTACTTTGGATCCTCAGTATTAGGTTTTACAATGAATAATTATGCTCTTACTGCAAAAGCCTAACTTCTGACCTTAGTTCACAGTGATAAACTTTGCTAGTGAGAAATTACCTAAACAACACATTCCCTTTGTTTTGTATTTTTTTCTTTTTTATTTAAACCTTCTTTATTCTTTTTCATACAAAGATAAGACAACTGCATTGAGGCCCTACTTATAACATGCCTAAAGATAAAACACTCACATATCAATGCAGCATACAACACTTACATTAACACCTTTGGGGCTTTTGTGTGGCATTTCTTACAAACTATCAATAAAATCTAAAACAAGAAAAGAATGTAGCGCTTTGATAAAAAAAATGAATTAATCACCTTTTTAGTTTTGTTTGTTGGAAGATTTTCCCTTGTATGTCAAATATGGACAGATATCTATAAAAAATAATTAAACATAGTATAGATCATACATAACAGGGTAATGCGTTTTGATTCTGATGTATATACACTCACAAACGGAGAGCTATGGACCCAGCTCTGGTTTGAATCGTTTCAGGGTCCATATCGGCGACCAACCCATATTGCCGATATGGATCTTGTTCTATAGAGAAGATATAGGCACAAACGCTGTATTGTTGATAGTAATTCTAATGTAAAGTAAAGAATCTCAAGTGGGTACTTACAAATATGGAGTCATATAATAATGACTCAATTATTAAGCATTGTGCAGATTTGGGACTGCATTAGATTAAGTGCTAGGAACCAGGATCGGTTAAAAAAGTAAAAAATTTATTAACACAATTTAAAACAACAAATAAAAGAAGCATCAATATGCTGGATCCGGGATGCGTTTCACCACTGATAGTGTGGCTTCTTCAACCGGGTAAATCAGTTCTGTGTCCTTAGGTTCCCTTTTCGTGTTTAAATACCGTAGAAACGGTGGGCAGAGAGTCGGTGCATGTGTGCAGTCACACGCCGGTACCACCCACAGGTACCACATGTGCCGTCCATGCCTCCCTCTCATGCCGCTACCAGGAGGGAGCCGGGAGTGTTTTGTATTCTTAATCCTTTCGGCTCCATTCATTTCATGTGTGGTTCTTTAGCAGAATATTACAGTTGAAATACAAATCCACACATACTCTTTGAAATATGCTGTTGGATGATTCTGTAATACTTATTTTATTTGGAACTCAACTGCAGAATTTTCTAATTGCAGCAACTATTAGTTTCACCTCCTGTTATACTGATGTGGGGAGAGTTACTGTAACTTTAAATATTTAAGCAGGATGTTAATTGTGAGTAAAGAATAAGCCAATGATGATCTGCATAAGCAAGTTAGTTCCAATTTAGGAATTAATGCAGAAAATTATGCAGAGTTAGTTTTTAGCTTAATTAGGATGGAATAATTACAAGCAAGATTATTAATGAGGAAATACAGAATTGCTGCTAGGAATGATTTGATTATTGGAGGAAGAATTTAACCTTTAAAAGCAGTTCCTTATGTATTAGAGAGAACAACTTGAGAGAATATGCCACAGTAATGAGCTTTCAGATACAGTCTATTATTAGTAACAGAGGAAGCTTGTTTGTAGGGACAATTACTTAACTTAAGAGTCCGTTCTGGAACTGTAGGCGTTAATTACATCCAATGGAAGCGGAGAAGGTAGAGGTCCGTTTAAGCAAGCCGAGGTCTGAGAGTGGAGAAGGTAGAGGTCCGTTTTAACAAGCCGAGATCAGGGAGTGGAGAAGGTGGAAGTCCGTTTAGCAAGCCGAGGTCTGAGAGTGGAGAAGGTAGTAGTCGCCCCAGAACGCTACCCGGTGCAGGCAGGATCAAGGTAGAGCAGCTGATAAGTTGCAGGCACCTGTGCAATAATCCAGCCCTTTGAATCTGGCGCGGTCTTCCTAAGTAGCGTGGAAGGACCGCGTCAGAGAAAAGGGGCGGGGCTAAGCTCAGTGAACCTGGAAGTGGGTTCCTGCGGCGAAATGTATGTCAGGCTATACCTGACAGATTCGATCCGATCTCTTGTGAGAGTGTCCTCGAGGATTCCATTGTCAAAAGTCCATATTGATCCACAAATATATAAAAAAACAAAAAATAAGAAACTAAATATCAGTCCATAACAATATTGTAATAAGTATATAACTCAATCATTTATTACTTATCAGTGTGGTGATGCACTATGTCTCGTAGGATACGTTTTTTTTTTTTAATAATTAAGTAAACAAAAGTGGATGTTCTAAATCATAAATAAATTATAGACTTCAAACACAGCATTATCAATCGTAATCGAGACAGAATGTTACATCTGATAATAACAAATTCTTAGGTAACGGAACATCAGTATAATAAGTCACTGATAAGTGGCAATCTCCAAATAACATATTGACTTTAAAACTCCACATTGTGATACATTCGAATTATAGTGCTTATAATGCAGAAGTGAATAGTAAAATAGATGTTTAGTTTGGGAATTATAATTTGTAACATAAAAATACGTAGTATAAGAATTCTCATCCTTTAGGTTTATTTTTCAATGCATACATTCATAAAGTCGTGTTTCTTAAATTAAAAATATCGAAACTCACTCAAATCCTAAGTTTAGCTCTACAATTAAATAAGTTCTCTGTTCTTCCAACTAATTTTTACAAGTTTAGTAAATCTTTAATGCTCCGTACTGGCATAGCAGATAATAAAAGTCTTCTAGTTATGCTTACGTAATAATGAAGCAACTTGGGGGGCGGGGCCTGACCACAGAGCTGAGAGGAAGTTAGCCTCATGAGCTCCTGCACCAAGCTTCAAAACCAACAGTCTCACACAACCCAAACTGTGACTAATCATGCCATAAAGGCCAGCAAACGTGAGGGGACATCGAACGGAGCGAAATGACACCCTTTAAGCGACAATACGAGGCCTACTCACCCGACAAGCGCTTGAGGCCTACCTACGTGGCGTGCGCGGGAGGGACGGCCGCTCTCCCACCGCCACAACCAACAGCCTCTGAGTATACGGGCCCTTGTCCCCCCCATGGACCGGCGGGGTTCATGCCTGTCCGCCTGCCTACTGGGAGCACTCACCTATGGGTCGCTCGAGAGCGCGGCTCCAACCAACGGGACGCATGTGACCTAACCAAGATGGCCGACAGCTGTGCAGCTCACCTGGAGCAACACAACACTAGTGACTGGGCAGCAACCTTTCGGGGCAAATTTGACGACGTATGCCGGCGATTCTGGGAGCAACTGGAAGAGAAGCGTCGACTCCCTGCTCTAGCACCGGCCAAACTGGCGGCTCCACAACCTGCGCCCCCTCACAGCCAGCTGTGTCACCCAGACGCACCCACAACACCGCGGAAGCAGGCAAAAACCGGGAAGCGGCTCGGCGGAGACCTAACCCACCACAAGGTCGCCTCAACCAGCTACAACATGTGCGGCCCCAACCAGCTACAACAGGCAAGCAGCACAGAGGGCTCTGCCAGCCGGCAACGCAGAGGCCACCCAGCAGGGCCCAAGCAAAGGCTTACCAGGCACTCAGGAGAACACCTCACAGATCCGCTACAACCCAGGCAAGGTACCCAAGACGCGACAGAGCAGCCATAACCCTCCACCTCTCCACCCCATGTGCCGATCTACCGCAGCAGCCCAGAGGTTCTTTCGGCAAGGTACTGACACATAACTCTCAGGACACTGCTCCGGTTCCTGCCTTGATGGATTACAGCACACCACACCAGCAGATCGCCACTGCGGCAAAGTGGACTTCCCCACACTATAATACCTAAGTATTAGGGACGGCTCCTGTATCACTGCTTGTCCATGACATGCATGCTCTATAGGTGTTAAAGGCAGCCAAGCAATTATTCTAAGCAAGTACTGATTTGTTCCTTCCTTTTATTATGTTTTCACACTCATCTTACCAGCTAAGATCTCCTACAAAATTCAGCTTCAGTAATCTAGACAGCGAGGAATAGCTAACTAAGCAATGTATGATTACCTCTAACTACTTTTACGCTCTCACGAAATGTTTGCTATTTAACAGCACTAGGAATACATACTTAGCCGGTACTTAGTCATACTGAGTGTATACATGTCTCCCAATCGCCTACACAGGCAGCAGTACCGTTACATGCAGGATATTGTCATCTCATGTCCAGCTAGCAAGCCTTACCAACCACACATGTAAATCCAGGGATGGACTGACAGCCTCCTGGGCCCCCGGACAAAATTAGATCCAGGGTCCTTCAAGACAAAATATTAAAGGAGCACTATAGTGCCCCCCTCCCGCTTCAACCACTTACCTTTCTCCTGCGCCGGGCTCCCTCGGCTCTGGGGAATTCTCGCATTCTCGAATTCAGCGCACGCATTCACAGTATGAATCGCGGAAGCACCTCTAGCAGCTGTCAGTGAGACAGCAACAGAAGCTGGATTAACCCTTAGTGAAACATAGCAGTTTCTCTGAAACTGCTTTGTTTTCAGCTGCAGGGTTAAAACTAGAGGGACCTGGCACCCAGACCACTACATTGAGCTGAAGTGGTCTGGGTGCCTATAGTGGTCCTTTAAGGACTAAGTAAATGTTAAAAATAATTTTAAAGTAAGTAGTCAAACAGTTTGACAACTTACCTGGGGTCTGCTATGATATGAGGCTGTAGTAGGGCATAGGAGCAGTGGTGTGTGTGAGTGGTGCAGTGTGTGTGAAAGGTTCAGTGTGTGTGTGGGGGGGGGTGTAGTGAGTGAATGTGTAGGGTGTGTGGGGCAATGTGTGTGTGTATGTGGGGCTGTGTATATGTGTGTGTGTGGGCAGTGTATGTGTATGGGGGGCAGTGTGTGAATGTGTATGGTGTCAGAGCAGTGTATGTGTGTCGGGGCAATGTGTGTATGGGGAGGGCAGTGTGTGGGGGCAATGTAAGTGTGGGGGCAGTGTGTGTGTGTATGTGTACGGTGTGTGTGGGGGCAGTGTGTGTATGGGGGGGCAGTGTATGTATGTGTGGGGCAATGTGTGTGTGTGTGGGCAGTGTATGCAGTGTATGCAGTGTGTGTATATGGGTGGGCAGTGTATGTATATAGGTGGGCAGTGTGTGTATATGGGTGGGCAGTGTATGTATATGGGTGGGCAGTGTGTATATAGGTGGGCAGTGTGTGTATATGGGTGGGCAGTGTATATATGGGTGGGCAGTGTGTGTGTGGGGCAGTGTGTGTGTGTGCATATGTGTATATATATATGGGTGGGCAGTGTGTGTATGTGGGTGGGCAGTGTATGTATATGGGTGGGCAGTGTGTGTATATAGGTGGGCAGTGTGTGTATATGGGTGGGCAGTGTGTGTATATGGGTGGGCAGTGTGTGTATATGGGTGGGCAGTGTGTGTATATGGGTGGGCAGTGTGTGTATATGGGTGGGCAGTGTGTGTATATGGGTGGGCAGTGTGTGTATATGGGTGGGCAGTGTATATAGGTGGGCAGTGTATGTATATGGGTGGGCAGTGTATGTATATGGGTGGGCAGTGTATGTATATGGGTGGGGGGCAGTGTGTGTATATAGGTGGGCAGTGTATGTGCCTAGAGGTGAGCAGTGGCCGTGGCCTGGGTGGGCAGTGTGTATATAGGTGGGCAGTGTATATATAGGTAGGCAAGTGTGTGTATATAGGTGGGCAGTGTGTGTATATGGTGGGCAGTGTATGTATATGGTGACAGTGTGTGTGTATATGTGTGGGCAGTGTGTGTATATGGGTGGGCAGTGTGTGTATATGGGTGGGCAGTGTGTATATAGGTGGGCAGTGTATGTATATAGGTTGGCAGTGTGTGTATATAGGTGGGCAGTGTGTGTATATAGGTGGGCAGTGTGTGTATATGGGTGGGCAGTGTGTGTATATAGGTGGGCAGTGTGTGTATATGGGTGGGCAGTGTATGTATATAGGTGGGCAGAGTGTGTATATGGGTGGGCAGTGTGTGTATATAGGTGGGCAGTGTGTGTATATGGGTGGGCAGTGTATGTATATGGGTGGGCAGTGTATGTATATGGGTGGGCAGTTTATGTATATGGGTGGGGGCAGTGTATGTATATGGGTGGGCAGTGTGTGTATATGGGTGGGGGGCAGTGTATGTATATGGGTGGGGGACAGTGTATATGTGTGTGGGGGCAGTGTGTGTATATAGGT